TAAATAATTTTAATTTCCCCCTTTATATATCGAGGTAGCCTTCGCAGTTCGGAGTTCATCTGGGAATACCCGTTTGTAGCATATTATTGGTAAAGTTTTATGCTGATTATGGTTGAAATCGTTTTAGCTGGTAACGGTTTTATGTCGTCAACTCCAGCTGCTACATTTGTCGTAATAGTCGCAATTAAGTTATTTGCGTCAGCTGGGGACGTAGGCTGCAGCACTATGGAATTTGGCACATTTTGCAAGTTAGTCATAACATCAATGTCACTGCCATCTTCCCGTGGTCGTGTTGCACCAACGTTTATAAAATAATCATTCATAATATTTGCGAGTTCTATGCCGCTCATATTTTTCCCGTTCACTATTATATCCTATATACTATACGTGCCACCGCCTATGTTTGTCAAGTTATTTACCATATCCCACATTTTCTTCGGGTTATTAAAGTTGCCTTCAAATTTACGTAGAAAGTATTCGGATTTGGCCTTTTTAATGTGAGAACTTAGCTTATTTCTCATTTGTTGAAATTGGATAACGAAGTTTTGCCACGGGATTTGACAAAATTGTTGAACGTATTATTTTCTTCTCTGTATTCACTTGTAAAGGTCGTCATTCAGCCATAGCTTTCAAAATTAACGTTTCGTCTTCATTGTAACGCACAATGATACAAATTCTTAAATAGTCATACAAATTTTCTATAGGCTTCATCTCCACACTCATCCAAATAGACGCTAGACCAGTCAAAACTTTCAACAAGTTGTTTAAAACTATCAATTGTGTCCGGGAGAGCGCCTTTAAAGCGCGCGACACTACAGCGCCGACGTTAGAGCGCACGACACGAGGGCGCTGCGACAGTAGCGCGCCTGATACTAGAGCGCACTTCAAGAGAGCGCATGACCAGTTGAGCGCGCGACACGAGAGCACACGACCAGTTGAGCGAACACCGCAAAATGTAGGATGCACCTGCGGCTCCACAAACACAACAAAATTGTGCGACTCTCCTTATCGAAGCGTTGCTGATTTTTGATTGAATGAATATGCCTTTATAAAAAATAAAAATAAAACGGATACGACTCTTTCTATCCAATTGTTTACTGACACCGGAAAGAAAAGGGGGCAGGAAAGTAGGGTTGGGCATATAGGTACCGGGACTATCTGCAGTTGGGTTTACGTTTTGCTATATTTGGTCTATTCTTGACAAGCATTTGGGCTCCGATCTTAATGGTGGCTATTTAAACGTCCCTCACATAATTTTAAATAGTATTGTGACGTCCATAACCGTTATGAGGAAAGCTCACCGCCAAACAAATCTCAGTAAAAAACTCATCGAAGGAAAGCTCAACGCAAGTTTACCGGATGCAGAGCTTTCCAGCCTTTTGACGGACACTGGAAAACCTCCCCTGCAAATCTGCAAAATATAATTGAGAACTTTTTTCCCAAAATCTTAATTCGTTGACGCGTCGAGTACGGTGACGGTCACCTTCTGTTGTTGATAGAACACAACCTTAACCCGTTCTGGATGCCTCAGAAAAGAGTCTACGAAGAAAAAAAGACTTGTCTATCGCTTTGTACGTTCTTTGCATTCTACAGAACCGTAGCTTCTCTAGCTTTGTTTTGTTCTTAGAAAGTAGTCCAATCTTCTAGGGCCAAAACAGAGTGCTTTGATTCAGAAATATTCCAATACCGAAGATTTCAGAAATTTATTGAATCTCGAAGAAAAAACGGCAGCACAAAGAGAAATAACAACTGTTTCCTGTTTGGCTGTTCTCCCCTTCCTGGTGTTTTCTATTTTGTTTGCTCTCTTTATGCTGCTGAATGTTCTGTTCATATTACTCCAGTCACTGCATTATGCTCATATTTTTAAGAAGTAACGAGTAATTAAAGTAATCCGTTACCAATATTTTGTAATGAAATTACATCACAAATTACTTCCGAAAAAAAAGTAACGTGGCAATTACAAAATTACTTGAAAACGTAACGGATTACAAGTAAACCGTTACTTGTAACGGATTACTTCCCAAGTCTGGACTTTTAAAACTACTTCCCTTGCATTTACAAACGAAAGATTGGTGTATCTCAGGTGCTGATGCGACGTGGCATATACCTAAGCAATAAAATTAGCCCTAAAATTTCGTTTCCGGACCCCTTTAACTCGGGTTGGCACGTAAACCACCCAAGTTTTACTTGTATTTTTTTCTTATTCTACTTAGTGTGCTCTGCAGAAATAGGCTTTCCTTGCTACGTACGCGGAGGGTGAATGATTGCGATGTGCCGTACGTAAAGAAGCTCAGGCACATGGACAGGGTCGCGGCATCCTCCCACGTCACGGTGCGCTAAGGAGAGTACCCTTAGCGAAAACTAAGACGTTCGAAATATACCACATTCTAATTTGAGTGTATTTGAAGTACAGTTCATAATTGTAAGTACGCAATAAATAGACCGAAAATGTACACTTCTTTTTTTTTCTGCTTTGTACTAAAATATATTTCTGAAAATCATTTAAAATGCCTTTATTTAAACTACATTTGATGTTCCCTTCATGCGTTCTGAAATATGTAAATACTAAATTAGTAGGCCAAAAATACGTTTCACATAAATTTTTTAAAATATGTATTTATTTCATGCAAAATACACTCTTACCCTAATAAAAATGCAGCGATGAAAAATATGTGCAGAATTCTTTTAAAATACCTGGAAATCGTAAATACTGTTGTGTTATGCTCTAAGTATCTTTTGAGTGCAATACTTTGGTAGTCTGACTTAAACTACCAAAGTATTGAAAAGCTCGCCTATCAGAAGTTCACTTCAAGCAGATTTGGAGTACACTGAAGCGCCTAAAAACAACATTTGATTAGTTTGTCAACTGAGTTGTGCAGCATCGCACAGATAAATCAGCGCAGTTTATGTTAATGTTTCCTTTTTTCTATCAAGAACAGACCTGATGAGTTTCTTGCACACCAATCACAAACGGGGTTCGGGAACTACAACCACAACACTTGCTTATACTGGAAAGCTTCAGCAAGTGCTGTGAGCAGATATATTTCGCGTGTAATTGTGTTAGCACAATGTTAGTTCACTGAATGCGTAGGCTCACCATTGTACGTGATGTGAGCAGTGACTTTAATATAGTGACGCTAATGACCATATTAAATAGTCAACTAGTAAAGAAAAGCAAAATAACTATATCAAAGGGAAGAAACTAGCTTCACTCTCTTTATCCTGGGTGGTGCTACGCAGAGAAGCAATTAAACTTTTTCTATGAGCCGTTTTTATGGATATTGTTTTAACGACTGCGCCGAATTATTATTAGTTGTATTAATGCTTGTAGTAAGAGATATCGTTCACGAACATCAAAACACTGTTTCCCCTTTGACAGACTCCCGAGGAGAATATCGAATACCTGGAACCTTATTAAGTGCAGGGCTGGTCACCGGCCAAATGATCACCTTCAATGTGTAGGCTATATAAGGCTCTAGAGCAGTCAACAGGGCTGTCCTTCAGGTGTTCAGTGCGTCATGGTGGTTGCGTTTGTGTTCGTTTCTAATGGTTATTTGTGGGATGTATTAGTAGTGCCTTCAAATACCGCAAGGACACAATTACTAACAAAATCCCCCCCAAAATGTGTAGCTGCTGTAGCTGTGTATCTATGCGAATATTCATTTTGCATTCATTCTGTATTATTTTGTCCCCATTCGAAACATGTGCGAAAGGTACTAAAAATATATCATAAATATTAATGAGAAATATTTTTAGACATACCAAAAGTATAATTCTTTACCCCTCAAGATGCCATTTGTGCACTTTTTAGTACACAAATGGCATCTTGAGGGGCAGAGAATTATATTTTTGGTATATAAAATTTTTTTTCTGATTAATATTTATGATATATTTTGATTACCTTTCCCACGTATTTCGAATGGGGACAAAATAATGCAGAATGAATACAAAGCGAATATTCGTATTCAATATATTTCAAGTTCGTTTCAAGTACGGCCACTTTTTGCTAAGGGTACCGCTCAATGAATGATCTCCCTGACCGCCTGAAGAGGGCGTGGCGAGTCGCGGGCATGTTCTTATCGCAGCCAGTGAGAGCATAGACTCATTCCAAGTCCTCAGTTCAAAACGCATGAACAGAATAACCGAGCGTTTCTTAGTCACTCACTGATGCGAGCTCCACGGACAGTTGAAGTAACACAGGGCTTATCAGGCTCACGCTTCTTGCTTAGCGATTTCTTCGGCGTTCTTATCAGCGAATCCCAGTGACGGAGTGATAAGCAGAGGTCTCTATGCCCTGCCTTCCTTAAGTTGGCATTTTCTATATAGAGTTGGAAGCCTATCTGAAATTATTCACCCTCATTAATTTTAGCAGGAAAGGCCCCCGGAAGTCAAGAGAAAAGCACCGCTTCAGCACGCCTCCAGGGAATTTCGTTCGAGGTAGACAACTAATTGATCGCCCACGCGCACTATTCTTGTCCCATCGGGAGGCGAAGTTTTATGAAAAGGCTGCTACAGTGATCTCTCGTTAATGCAGACACCGCAGTTCCCCCCAAGAAGCGTTCATGATGTGGGTTGTCCATATTACCATGACAAAAGTGCCTGCTTTTTACCCTGTTCGTACCCAGAAATGTGGTCTATATAGTGGGGTAGTATTCATAATAGGAAGTTCTCGTAGATCGTTTTCGCCGTCCCGCAATGGCTCTCCGCAACCCGCTACGATACCCGGAACTCTGCAGTCAAGGTTATCGGCGCGCAGGCGCAGTAGCGGCTTCTTCGTTGCGGAGGGCTTAGCGGAGGGGGAAAGCGGTCTACGAAAACTCCCTATTAACGGTGTACGTAATAACGAGACACGACTGTATGGCGTCGTCTGGCATCACGAGTGTTTGTTCCGAGCTAAAAGAAGTCAGAAACTCGGCCAATTTCAGGAACAGGAGAAGCCGTCCGTGCGCGCTCTGCGGCCACGCGCGGTGCAGCGCCGGGAATCGCGCTGAGATACGCACGCTTGCGCCGCCGAGCCGAGCGCTGGGGCAGCGCTCCGGCCTCGATGTCCGGGTTCCCGCAGCGGGACTCGCTCATCACCCGTAGCGTGGCCGGGTCGAGCAGCCCGGTCTCCGGCATGCTGTAGTTGCGCTGGTACAGGCGGACCGCCTTGCGCAGCTCGTGGGCGCTGCAGGACCGCGGGCCCGCCCAGGACTCGTCGTGGTCTCGGCCGCCGCCCCGGTGACGGTTGCGCCGCCTCCGAGAACCGCATTGGAGGTAGCCGTACCGCTTGAGGACTTCCTGCTCACGCGGGACAGCGACACACAATGTTCCTCCCTCTCACCCCGAGACAATGACCTGCGTCTAGCTTCCAAGACATGCCGAAAACGCTATAGCGTTGCGTATAGGGACAAGCGCTGTGCGTTATTGGGGAATTGTAGTAGACCGTTCCCGCAGCCCGCTAAGCACCCGGATAGCGCTCCGTAATCCGCCACAAGACCTTGAACTATGCAGAGAAGGCTGGCGGCGCGCATGCGCAGCTGCGGCGTTTTCTTCGGGGATAACGTAGCGGAGGAGAAAAACGGTCTACTGCAATTCCCTAGTGTTGCGTGTTTCACGCTGCGCATGCGCGTCGTCGCCGATCCAAGAGCGCAGTTTGGGCTCCGCGCACGCTCAGTGCACAACACGCAAGGCTCACGCCCATTGCTTCCGTTCCTTCGTATACGCAATACCAAAGCTCACTAAAATACTTTATGACTACATGCTGGGGAGCAGGGATGGGCAGTACTTCAAATAGTTTGTATTTCGTTTTTAATTACATATTGGGGAATGTATTCGTCAACTGTATTTAAATACTTAAAATTGAGCAACTCAAATAAATGCATTTCAAATACAGCCCTAAATACACACTCTAAGAAATGCCTGCGCGTCTACTTACCCACAAAACACCCAAAGAGCCAATCTCTGTGATCTACGAAATCAGCTCAGCGAATGATGAGGCGGAACATCTGTTTAGACCTCAAAGTAAGTCTGCGCTGTGGCATTACGCAATGCAAGCATGACGCTTCACGTTGCGCAATGCCACTGCGCAGACCTCATTTTTAGCTCTAAACGGATATTCCGCCTCATCGTTCACTAAACTGATTTCGTAGATCGCAGAGGTTGGCTCTTTGTGTGTTTTGCATGCAAGTAGACGCACAGGCATTTTTTAGAGTGCAATTTTGGGCACTGTTCTTCGCAATCAAATGTGATAGTTATAGGCACTCTTGGCGAACTTAATCATATGCAAAGAGCATGAAACTTTCTGCGTTTTGCGCAGAATAAACATTAAAGGAAAAAAAACACAAAAAAACAACAACATTAGAACGGGGAACTATTGCCTTTTTGGCTGGGTGATTTAATTTATTTTCTAACGCGTCGAATTGACGACATCTTGCTTGAAAAGGTTTTGATGCACCAATCCAGCCTTTTAAATTAATCTTACACCGAATACATTGTTTTTTGCTCATGTTTTATCTGCCTATGAAGTTATACTAACAAAATATGTTATTTTTAGAGCTGCCCCATTATTTCTAAGCACTTGTTTCTTAGTGTATATAAACTTCCCTTTTTATGTGGGCATGACATTTTTTACCTAAGTTAAATTAAAGTCTAAGATGTCAGTCTTTGAGAAAAAAAATGTATTTGAAGATGATCAAATACGCTCGTTGTATTTGTATCTTGCATTTAAATACATTTCTCAGTTTAATTGAATTCGGAATCAAATACATTTTCGTCGAAGTATTTTGTATTTGTATTTAAAGGGAAGCTACGGAGCTTCTTGGAAAAAATGAGTTAGAAGTGAATTATAGTGTATTTTTACCCCGTGAACCCGAATACCCAAACCATTTGCTGCGTAAGTATTCTTAAACGCGAGAAAAACGCGAAAGACGGTCGCTGTCCGTGACGTCATCGACGGCTCTTTTGGCTGCCCAAGGCTAGGGAGGCGGGGCTTCAGCCCTATTTTGAAATTGCTCGTATGGCTCTCCGGCGCGTCGCATTGAAATACAATTTTGATATCTGTTAATCTAAAGGCCAAATGAACGCAATTCAAGTGTTTTTTCTCAAATGTAGAAGTCCCCCATCTTCCCTTTAAGTACATTTGTGGAAGTATTTTGTCCATCCCTGCTTCCAAGTTGGAAGCACATGCTGCCGCTAGATAATCGCCAAAAGCTGCCTTTTCTTTCGGCACTCCTTAATTTCCGCTCAATCTTTCTGAAACGCTGATTCGGGGTTTTCCCAGTTCAAATCAGCTGACAGCTTCAGTTTGCTGGCGAACACCCTAAAATAGGGCGTTGGCGGTCTTGGTAGCACCCCAGTTTCTAGACAGCATGCACCACGTAAAGTCACATGCATAGGATCCATACATACAGGCGCAATGAAGCATGCACGAGACCGGAGTAACGGCCCTTGTTGGCTGCTCCACCGCCTTATATACACCACAACTGAAAGATACCCAGTCAGAAATGATGTATTCTCAGGATCTTATGTATCATTTTTATCAATAAAATGATGAATTTTATGTTTGAAAGTTATTTTAGTATCAAATAGCAAACTTGCTACGTGGACCAATTTTACCTCAAATCTGAATTGCTCCAGTAAATAAACAATCGAGATAATGACATGAAACAAGTATCAGTGCATATATCGTAAGCTATCTGGTGGTAGAAGGTTTCTGTTGGTACTCTTGACGACAAAAAAAAAGACTATATATAGCTCCAAACGTTTTAAAAACCACAAATTTCGAGATATTTGAAGTCGATTTTCGCAAAAAGGTCATTTTTTATCATTTTATTCAAACTTTTTTTTACTTGACAGCCGATAAGCTATAGAAATACTGGATAGAAGTCTTGGGTGCAATATTTTTGTTGTATGCTCGATGAGCGTGATGAATCGTGGTCAATTATTTCCCACGGACGATCGGTACGGCCATATCTGACTGCTTCTGACGCTGGGCGAAAGAGGCTGAAGCTGCCCACGTGCCATGTTAATATAACACCTCAACAAGATGACGGACCAGTAAAGTTGCAGCTTAGTTTCGGTTTCGGTTCTTCTCCGATCAAAAGTTATTTACCATTTTTCGGGGAACTTTTATTCGCAGCTTTAGATCCGTTTCTCGTGCTCTTTCAGAAAAATATGTTTGGTTGAAAGCGTTCAAACGGAGGCCGGAGCTCACCTTTAAAGGGTGTGAACATTTCGGTGTGCAGCCGGATTTACCAGCGGTGACCCCTCTCTGCGATCCCTTTTTCTCTGTTGGCTACTACAAAACAATAGCAAGAAAGAGCGTTCGACTAGAAGTCGCTGCCAACTGCACGACTTTAGATTTGCCCTCTAGTCGCTGACAACTTAAAGGGATACTTCAACGAAATTTGAAATGTACCCGTCGCGTTCAGTAGTAGGTTGAATATCATCCACAATATCTGTAAATGACAATCGCACGTTTCAATTTTGAGCCTCATGGCTGTATGTTTTGTTATAAAGGGATACTTCAACGAAATTTGAAATATACCCGTCGCTTTCAGAAATAGGTTGAATATCAGCCACCATATCTGTAAATGACAATCGCACGTTTCTATTTTGAGCCTGATGGCTGTATGCAGTGGCGTACCAACTTGTCTTTGAGTAGGGGGGGGGGGGGGGGGGGGGCAAACAAGACCTCCCCCCCCCCCCCCCCCCCCCCCACCGGGTCGCATATTTTTACTAGTGATGGGCCGAACTTTTGCGGAATCGAAAATTCGACGCAACTTTTGCCGAACTTTTTTAAAAGATTTGGCAACGATTCGGCAAAAATACACTGCTACCAGACTTAACACTGATATTTATTTTTTCTGACGAAAAAAGGTGCTAGAGGCCGCCGCCGTTGCTATCAGCAGCACGCGTAGTAATGACGTCACCGGGCGCTTTATAAAAAGAGCACCGTCATATGCGCAGCCAGAGCGCTGCCGGTCTCTGCGGAATAAAGCTGTTCGCAATCCTTTTTTTTTTTTCTTAACATAAATAGAACATGTAGTGCCTATTGACACAGTTATAACTAAAGAAGGTGATATTCTACAAGATAATTGTATCGATGTCGCTTTTGTATGCTTACTGGCAATTTTAGTGTTTGCTTGCAGAAAGTGGCGTGACAACGAGGTTGGGTAGTAGCCGGCGCAGTCACGAATCACGCTATGAGAGTTTTGATTTTGAGGCTTCATCAGCGCACGGCTGCAAGTGTGTTTACATTGTTAAAATAAAGGCAATCACTGCATTCTTACTTTTTCTAGGAGTCACTGTTTCGTGCGCGAAAACGAATGCAACGGTTACTGAGCCTCCACCAGAAGAGAGAACAATATTGTAAATATGCATGTTTTTCGATTTGAGTCACTTGACGTCAGCTTTGCATGAAAGTGTGCGTTCCATATTCGCAACGTGTCGTTTTTAACGTTTAAAATTCCGGTTTCTGGTGTTAGGACACACACGGACGTTTCGGAAGGTGGGGAGAGTGAGGAATGTCGGATGTGCAACGTCGAGCATGATAGTTTTGTGTTTAGTTTTATGCAGATACATGCAGATACATGCTTTTTAGTTCGCGAAATAACGCGAACTAAAAAGCAATATTATTCTGTTTTGGCACAAACTACTTGTGAGTCGAAAACAGAATTTTTATAATAATAATAATAGTAATAATAATAATAATAATTTTATTTGCACATACTGGAAGGGGCCCATGTGGTGGTGTTCAAAACAAGGTAGATAGGTGAAAACCCTTACGCAGAGTGCCTGCCAGTCAGACTTGTACGTAGTTCAACTACTTTACTCAAGTTACTATAGTTTAACTACTTTTCTGGGTAGTCTAGTAACTTTCAATTACGTTTCTATTTTGGTAATTAGTCGTTTACTTTAACTACTTTTCCGAGTACTTCTACTCAAATTACAAATTACTTTCGAATTTTAGTGGTTGTTTTGCCTATCGACAGAGATAAGAAGTTAGAAGATCAGCTGATATTTGCAAAGGGGGAAGCATGTGGCGTAGAATAAAAAAAGGGGGGGGGGAGAGGAAGGAAAGCAATATGGATAGTCTAAAATCCCCAAAAACTTTTAACGAGCCCCCCACAGCAACAATACTGCTATGAGGCGCAGGGAGCGAACAGACACGACGCAAGAGAGGCCGAGTAACTGTCGAAGACTGGCGTTTCTTTGTGTCCCGAAGCTCAAGGAGACTTGACGCATTTGAAGAAAGGGCTTGCCCCAATTCTCCCCAATGTAGGAATTCTTTTCCGCTA